GTCAGACAAGTGGCTAGACGGATGAAAAGCGCGGGAACACTTTGTGTCAGACAAGTGGTTAGACGCGATTAGGAGAAGGTAGAGAAGATGGAAGAGGTGCAGTGGTCAAGGGGGAGGTAAAGGGGGAGAGGGAGGAGGAGGATTTGTTTTCCGCTCCTCCCCTTCTACATGCTAATCCATGGATGATCAGGGCGGGAAAGCCAAATCCGTTAAGAGGATTTCAAATACTTTCGTAGAAAGAAACGGAGCATCGTTTGTGCGGAAAAGTTGCAGTTCCCTTCTCTTGGTTTTTTCCCCTCGTTGTTTGAGGATTGGCGGCCAAATCCGGCGAGAAACATCCATGTGTATGTGTCGGGGCGCGCGCACATCCGACGCATGCGCGTCCAAGGGTGTATGTGTCTGTGTGAGCGCGCGCGCACGCACATCCATCGCGTGCGCATCCAAGGGTGTATGTGTCTGTGTGAGCGCGCGCGCACGCACATTCATACCCACAAAGTGGGATATGGATGCGCGTGTTCGTGTGTGCGCGCGTGCGTGTGCGGGGCGTGTGCGCGCGCGTCCAACTGTGCGGGGCGAGTGCGCGCGCGTCCAGCTCTGCGTGTGTGTGCGCGCGCGCGTGTGCGTGTGCGTGGGTGCGTGTGCGTGTGAGTGTGCGTGCGCGTGTGCGTGCGTGTGTGCGTGCGCGTGTGCGTGTATGTATGTGCACGCAAGTCCCACACCCACGCAGCGGTTATAGATAACCGATGAAGAAGACGGTGAAGATAGGACTGAAGAAGGATGGAAGTGGAGAGGGAAGAGAGAGGGAGGGAGAGGAAGAGGGAGGGAGGGAGGGAGGGAGGGAGGGAGGGAGGGAGGCAGGGAGGGAAGAAGTGCCCGTGTCCTGCACGGTCTAAGTCAGTTCCCGCCGCGATCGCCGGTTGGCTGCACTCACAGCTTGTGTCTGAAGCGCTGACGTGGGACATCGGTTAGGCATACGATTTATGAGAATGAGAATGAATAAAATGCTGATAATGATGATGATGATCCTGATGATTACGATTACGATAATCATGGAGATTAGGATGATGGACACGGACAGCATCATGATCGGCAGCAGGAGGGGAGGGAATAAATGCACCTGAGATGACCATCATAACGATAATTCGGTCAGAATGGGTTGTCATTTACGCGGCGTATGACGACGAAAAGTAGTAGGAAGGGTAATTTCTTTCTTTTCTTCCAATTCAACCCTTTGGGGGTGGCGATTTAGCCGGGGGGTTCGGCGGGGGCGTTGGGCGGGG